CCTGCTTGCTAATGAGAGAAAATCTGACACTCGGATGCCTTCAAAGCGTCTTCAAAGGCTGCGGTGCGGCCGCCACCCGCCCCGCTCTCGCTCGCAGGCACAAAGTCTCTCCAACGTCTTTTCCTAAGGGGAAGACGCGACGTTCCTCTTCCCTGGTGCTTGCAGGGGGCCCGGGGAGGTGGATGGGGCCAGGGTCTCTCCCTCGGTGGCCGTGGCAGTGGCCATGCCTGCCGGCTGCCCGGTGCCCCAGTCCCCTCGGCAGGGAGGTCCCCACGGCACCGCCGGGGCAGCGGGGCTCTGCAGTGCGTCCCCGGAGCGGGGCCGGCAGCCCACGGAGCAGACGGTCCCCATGGGCACCTCCGGGAGCTTGGGAGCCGAGCCGCCCTGAAGGCTCTTCTTAGGTAGGCTTTGTGCAAAGACAAACAGAATTTATCTTAAGATAACAAATAAAGATGATAAATAGCACTAGCAAGGTTCACTTTTACACTCTTTATTCATTGAAATATCCTGAACCGTCTTTAGTGCCTGTGAGGTGCTTGTAGAGGGACTTGGAGACCACCAGTGAAAGAGACCTCACATTTCAGAGTCCAGGGAAAAGGAAACCCATCCGTTGTATTATTTACCCCCCAGGGACAAGGCTCAGCCCCCCCATGTCTCCCCCATAATTGCAGCCCTGTCCGGGTGTGGATCCTCACACCACATGTTACGTGGTTGGATCCTGTGATTTTTTATTATTTTTCTCCTGGAGCCTTGTTCCTGGGGGGAGAGCGCGGATCTGGCCACAGGGACTGAGCAGGACGCGGCTCCCGTGATGCTCCTTCCCTCCTCCTTCCAGGTCTCCGGGAAGATGGACGAGAACGATTTCGTAGCGGTGACCAGCACCAACGCTGCCAAGATCTTCAACTGCTACCCCAGGAAGGGGCGTGTCGCCGTGGGCGCCGACGCAGACTTGGTGGTGTGGAACCCCAAGGCTACTAAAATCATCTCAGCAAAAACCCACAATCTGGTAAAATATTTTTTTAATTGTTTTCCTGAGCTGGTTTTAGAGTCTGAAGATAACAGTAAAGCAATATATGTCTTCAGATCAGAAAGATCAGCTCATTCAGCAGCTTGTGTGCATGAAAGGATTAAGGACATTTGCTTTTAAAAATACAAGCAGATGAACCTATCCTTTGGTTACTGTCAAGGGCAGGGCTGTGACTGAGTTGGAGTGACTGCTCTGAGACAGTCTGCACCCAGAACAGAAAGTTTAAGACCAGTGTATTTGCTGTGGACTAGAAAACTGTAAGTGCTGAACTTCCTTTAAATATTAAGCTGCTCATGCAGTTGGTGTGTCAGGATCCTCCCTGAGGCGCCAGGCTGATCCTGCACGGGCCTGTCCATGGGGGCCACTCGCATGGGAGAGGTTTGGGTGCATCTTGATGGCATTTTTAACTGTGGTTTTCCACGGGTTTTGCTGTCCCCAAACTACTTTCCAACGTGAGCCTCAGACAGAAAGCTGCAGTTGAAAGGAGGGGAGGGTGAGGTAATTCTGCATTTCCCACAGAACAGACCTGATGTCCCGTGCCTGTTTTGGTAGAAGACTTGTAGTGACTTGGAAGAAATGACAAGATCTTCTGTCTGGAACGGAGAACTTAAGCTGGGCTCTTCTGGGCTTAGAGAGAATTAATTGTTTGTGTATAGCAAAAGTCTAGTTTGCTCCAGGAGTCCTGGAGGTTTTCCAGGCAAGTACTGAGAGTTTTGAGGATTTAGTTTCTCCATTCCAGTTTGCTTTAGTTCATCCAATTAGAAAAACATTATTATTTGAAATATGGTTAGTTAGGTACAGCTGATGGAGCACGAGGAGCAAACTTATAAAAAGGGGGGTGTGGTGTGTAGTTGGCTAGACTGTCACTTCTCCTTTCAGTCTTACCCGTGTTGAATATCTTGGTGTGTTGTTTCCAGAACGTGGAGTACAACATATTTGAAGGCACAGAGTGCCACGGGGTTCCTACCGTGGTCATAAGTCAGGGAAAAGTTGTTGTTGAAGATGGAAACCTGTGCGTCACCCAGGGGTCAGGCCGCTTCATCCCAAGGAAGACCTTCCCCGATTTTGTTTATAAAAGGATAAAGGCAAGAAACAGGGTAAGGAGAACTTTACTTGCCATAACCCTCTGTTTTCCTTGCAATCTCTCTGCATTATTATTTTGCAGTCACTGTTGTGGCAAGCCTGCTGATGGAATAGGCAGCAGAAACAAGAATATTAATGTTATTTCTTTCCGGGCCTTGGAAATTTGTGATGTTGTCATGGAAGTGCTTTGGTGTGATGCTTGGCACGTTAATCACTGATCCCTGTTTTAGTGTTACAGCTAACAGTGCGAGGGTCATTGGTATTACTTGCCGATTATAAAGTTACAAAGCAAAAATAAGACTTCTAGCAGATCTGGCTTTGGTTTGTATTGAGGGAGGAGGGGGGAATTCCTCTCACACCTGCATTACGCGGGTTGATGTGGTTGTGTGACCAGCGTGTGCGCTGCCCTCCTCCCTCCCTCCCCTTTCCATGTGTTATTTTAGACAGTTCCATTATCCGTGGTAGATGAAGGTGGAGCAGGAATCATTAACCCCAATTGCCTGCAGAGGCACCAGCGGCGCTGGCAGCTGCGGCAGGAGCCCCCGGCCCCTGGGGTGCCTGGGGGTGCCACCTCGAGCGCTTCCAGAGTCAGGGCAGGATGGGGACGGGCCCTGGCAGGTCAGGCTGTGGAAGCAGACACCCCGTGCCATACCTTGGAGCTGGGTAAATGCAACCCTTGGCGCAGAGCGAGCTGAAGCCCTGGCGGGGCGGTGACGGGCACCAGCCCGGGCAGGGAGGGGTTTGTTTGCTCCGTTATTGCGTTCAGTGCTTTGCAAACAGCCCACAGCCTGCCTGTGCCAGCTCGCCAGCCTTGGTTTAACCGGAGCTTTCGACAAAAGCTGCGGTCAAAAAGAGCGCAGGAAGACATCGAGTAGGGTGTTTTCTTCACAAGATCTGCAGCACAATGAAGACAAAGGTCATGTAAGAAAGAAATTTCTACAGACAGTGCTGTATGTGTCTTGATAACCTACCAGCGCGTGCCTTTTTAATTTGAAACCCAGCACTTCTCATCTTCAAAACACGTCCCTTCTGACCCTGCGGTTGTCAAAGGGCTGTCACTGCCTCGCCAGGGAGGAGAAACAGCCTTAAGCAGATCCGTGATGAAATGCCAGTAACGATGTCGGTGGGGCTTTGGCTGCCCTGGCAGCCTGGGGCTGAGCTCGTCCTGCCCGTGACAGTCACAGCGGGTGACACCGGGGGGAGCCATGTGGCCCTCGGGGGGGCAGGGCCCCTCACACGGAGGACAAGTCATCACCCAGATGTTAGGCCTGGTTCTTGCTCGCCTTAGCTTAAAGTTGCACTTTACCCCTCTGCTTCCCCCCTCGCAGCTGGCCGAGGTCCACGGCGTCCCCCGCGGGCTCTACGACGGACCCATCCACGACGCCCTCGCCAGCGCCAAAGCCGTGGCCCCCGCCCCGGCGTCCCGGCTCCTGCCCTGCGCGGGCAAAGCCCAGGCTCCCCCCGTCCGCAACCTCCACCAGTCGGGGTTCAGCTTGTCCGGTAGGGCAGGGGGTGCCCTGAAAGGTGGGGGGGCTGCAGGCAGCGGGGGGGCTGCTTTGTGTCATGAGCTTGTGTGAGCGGCCGGGCAAAGCCGGGGACTGGGGACGTGGGTTTGCTCAGTAAAACACGATTCTCACTGTTGCAGCAGCCGCACAGAGAATGGTTTTTCTGTGTCGGGGCGCTGATGAACATCCCGAAGCCTGGCGGGGTGTGAGTACAGGCGGCACGGAGGGTGGAGGCTGCAGTGATGGGGAGGAGGGTGAGGCTGAAGGTGAGGGTGTCACCATGGCCCTGCCCAGTCAATGGGAACGCTGTGGTGGCTGCTGGGGGGGTCGAGAGTTGGAAGTGGTTGGGTTTGTAGAGATTTGCCAGGTAACTGTTTTCAGGAACCAGAAAGACAATTTCTTCAGTCTTTCCGTGTAAGCAGGCAGCGATCAGCATCGCTTGGCTCAGTGTCCTGCAGAAACCCGCCCGGCAGCTTTCGGGACCTTGGAAAGCCAGTGCTCTGCCGTAAAATGGCTTTTGTGGTTTTGTTCCCTTAGCTGGCTGAGATCAGTTGGGTCACATATTGTTTAATAGATGCACGAGGTCCCACATTTTATTATATGGAACCTTTATGTACAGGAAAGCCACTTACAATGTTTTCCAGACAGAAGTAGTAAAAAATAATGACACTCAGGCAAACGAAGCCGTGCCAACCTGCACCGCCCGTGCTGGTGTGTGCTGAAAGCACCAGGAGGTCCCGCCAAGGGACGGCGGCGTGGTGAGGGCAGCGGGGCCCCCCCAGTGCCACCAGCACACCCCACGCCCGTCCTCTCCCGCAGGCTCGCAGGCGGACGACCACATCGCCAGACGCACGGCTCAGAAGATCATGGCCCCCCCGGGCGGGCGCTCCAACATCACCTCGCTGTCCTGACCGCTACGCTCCCCGTCCCTGTGCCCCCCACCGCAGCCAGCGCCACCCGCCAAGGGGACTCCAGGTCGCCCTCGAGCTCGGGATGAAGAGCGAGCGTTCGTCAGCTGCCCCAGCCCCTTCTCGTAGGTAGAAAATAGAGGAACCCCCCGCGAGGTAGCGCTCCCCTCCCGCCTCTCCCAGCCTCTTTCCCCAGTAGCTGCTCGAAAGCCCCTTCCTTGCGGGGGCAGCGCCACCCTCCCCCCGCAGCACCGCCTGCCCTGCCTGGGCCGAGGACTTTCAATCCACAAACACATCCGAATCCGCAGCGGGGAGTCTCACCTGCGCTCGGCTCGGGGCTCAGGCCTGGCCCCGCGGCGGCAGCGCGTCCGTCTGTCCCGGCCGGGGCTGGTGTCCTGGGCAGGGCCGCTGCGGACCCAGCGCCGGTGGGCTGGAGCCCTTCTGTAGCCCTGGCTTTTAAAGATTATTTATACAGTTTTTCAAAAGTCAAGTTTAAGTCTTAGAACCAATAACAAGGCTCACCCGAAGGCCACCTGCATATGACAGACTCTTTTATAAAGGTTATTATAGCCCGTTTATTATATTTGAAGGGATGTACAGCAAAGGTGAACCTCTGTGCCACAAAGCTATGCATGTACCTCTAACGGAACGGCTCGCCATTCATTTTCTGTTCCTTGCTCTGAATAAAGTTTGTTGGAAATCGTAAGACAGTAGAAGCATTTGATCCGAGTCAACTTCTGTGTTTTTTCCTTTGGGTGTTTATGCACGAGGGTTTGCACGCTCGGTTCATGGCCTGTGACTGTGCTGCCCTTGGTCAGTGCAGAGGGTCACCGTGAGCTCTGCAGGGACACTGCAGCATCCACCGCCCCGCTGGCCCAGGTCCCGCCAGGGCTGCTCCAACCCCCCGGCATCCCACAGCCCCCCCAAAGCCTTCGGTTTGCGAAGCCACAACACCAGGGGGGTGGTCAGGTCCTTCCCGTTGGGCCCACACCGCTGCCCACGCCTGCAGGAGACGCTGCAGCATGTCCGCGGGGTGCAGCTTTTCCTCGTGCTCTCGTTTCCAGCCCCGTCGGAAAGCGGGGAACAAGAAAGGGAACGAAAGAGGTGTGGAACCACGAGCACGCGTCTGCTCCGCAGGGGGAAGCTGAAATCACCATTCAGCTCTGGATGCCATTAAATATGAATTAATTATTCCCTGAATTCACAAATTTAAACCAGGAAGGGATTTTTTTTTTTTTGGTGGGGATTTTTTGATTATCTGACCTAACCTACATCTCACAGCTTAACACAATGACCTGTAACAATTTCTACATCAAACATATGGGAATGCATTTGTTCATTTAGTTTTATTTAATTTTAAACCTTACTTAATTGCATTTGTTGGGTTTCTGAGTTTTGCTGCAATTGCACCACAACTATTGACCATGCATTTATTTTCTCTCTAAGTTAAGATTTTTAAAGTGATGGAAATGGAAGGTGCAAGAGGAATGGGAAAGACAGAAGTTCCAGTCTGCTGGCAGTGACCCCCCAAGCGCCCAGCCAGGCACGGGGCCACAGGGGTACCCCAGCACCTTGGTAGCACTGCGCAGGGGAAGCCCTGTGAGCTCTCTCCTGGCAATGTCCCTCTTCCAGCAGTCCGGCTCGTTACCGACAGGGGCGGTGGGGACCCGGCAGGAGCCAGACGCGCTGTCCCCTCGCCCAGCACCGCCCTGCAGAGGCGGTTTGGGCCCCTCCAGCCACCGCACCAGCCACGGGCCCAATCCCCGCTGCCCTTTCCCTGGGAAGGGAGGCCTTCCCTGGATTTCCTCCGTCAGGGAGCTGTCGCCACCGAGCCGGTGCTGCCGCACCATCGCCTCAGCCTCTGGAACGGGGCTGGAGCATTTCTGCAGCAATCCCGGTGCCAGGAGATGCCGAGGAGGGTCTGGACAGAGCCAGGCGCTTGCTAATGCAGCCAGAGCCTCCGGGAAATGAAACCACCCGGGGCACAAACACCGTCTCTGCTTGGCCCTAATTTCTTCGGACAGCTTTCCCGCAGGCTCCAGGTCAGGCACACGCCGGCCAAGGGCACCGGCGAGACGCTTTATGCCTGTGCCCGAGGGCCTGTGCCTGGCTCGGCGGCGGCTGCCGGCTCAGGGCTCGGAGGAGCCCCAAGTCCTGCCACGGGAGCGGGGATGAGCCTCTCGTTTCCCAGTGGAACAGCAGCACGAGTTAAAAGAACAGTAAAATGCAAAGACAACAACCGCCCAGCCCAAACCAAGACGGCCTATGCAACACAGAATGTTGGTCCTAAAGGCATCGCGCACTGCAGGCAGCAGCAAACCGTGGGGTGCTGAAATGGGGGTGAGGGCACCCCGCAGCCGAGCAGCCCCAGGGCTGCGGGACACGGCGGCCCCCGCGCCGGAGGGAAGTGGGGCAGGGGGATGCTGCAGGGCACACGCTGGCTGTGCGAAACCCTACGCTTCCCCAAGGGTGCAAACCAGCTGGCAGACAGCTGCAAAATCATCGCTCTGTTTCCACGCTCTGCTGCTTTTTTGCCAGCCTGTGGCAAGCCTGGCTCTGTCCTACTCCGCTGGGTAACCAGGCTCCCCCCGGCCCACCCCGCGCTGGCAGCGGCAGCCAGCACCCACCTGCCCTTCGGGTCCCGCCAGCAGAAACAGCAGCGTGAAAAATCTCAGCAGGTCAGAAAGGCAAAGCCGGGGGGTGACGCCGAGGAGGGACGTTCTCTGCTTGTCCCATCCTGAGGGTGAGCCCCAAAAAGCAGCGGTTTAGGCACAGCAGTAACGGGCAGAGGGCTGGCAGCTGCAGGGCTGCCTGTGTTTGGGGTGGTTTAAGCCTCTCAGCTTTTTCACCTGCTGTAATTTAGGGGCTGAGGGGGGGAAACTGTCCTCCCCATTCCCTTCACCTCCTCCCTGCTGTACAAGGGTGAGCAGCCTGGCTTGTCGGGTGCCCACGCACCCTTGGCCCTTTGGGGACCCTCGGGGAGGCTGTGGGGGGGTCACACCAGAGGAGTCAAATCGGCCCCGCCAAGGCCGGGGCACGGGGCTGCCAACCGCCAGTGAAAGGCTCTGCAGACAGAGCCACACTAAGGCTTTATCGCCTTCCTTTGCCGCTTGGTTTGAAGTCAGAAGAGCCTTTGTAGATGCTTTCTACAGCAAGATGAAGCAAGTCAGCACACCACGCTGACAGCCACAATAAATAATTCCAAGTACTGATGAGGGATGAAAGGGAAAAAACAGAAATGGAGACCTCCCGAAGTTCCCTGGGGCCGTTTTTATCCAGTTTAAGATACAAAATCCAGGGTTGTGCAGGGAAATACCGAAATGCAGAGGCTGTCAGTGCCTCGACCATGCCCTGGCCCCCACGGGTACAAGCGGGCACACCCCTCCCTGCTCCCCCAGCCCCTGCCCGGGCACCAGCCCGTGACGTTACCGGGGGCTGTGTGGGTGCCCCCGGCAGGGGCAGAGGCGCTCCTCACCCTCACTGACCCCCAGATCCCCATGGAAAGGGCCCTCCGCCCCACTGTCAAGACAAACTCCGCCTGGGGAGTCCGAAACCCCTCTGTCTGACACCAGAAAGCGGGAGGCTGTGAAATGCCCGGAGTCAGCCGGTCTCCTTTCAGGTTTTGCAGTGGCCCAGGAGCCTCACGGCCGCGTTCCTGCAGCTCCCCCGACCCCAGCCCTGCGCTGGCGGGAGCATCCCCGGGGGCTCGCCGAGATTTCAACGTTTGCTGCGTTGGTGGTTGGTGCCCTCGCAGCCTCGTAACTGCCCGCTGCACCCCCCCGGCGCTGCGTGTGCCCTGCGGGAAATCCGCGGCCCGTTGAGCCCCAGGCCACCGCTGGCCCAGGAGCCGCCGTCGGTAGCCACAGCGCAGGCTGGTGGCTGGCCACGCGCCCCAGCCCTTACCCCACTGCTGTAACCTGGGTGCTGAAAGGCTCCACGACGTGTAAACGAGAAATGTGAATTGTAACAGCTGCTTTTCATGAGATCCCATGTTTTCTCTATGGAGCAGTAACCTGGAAATGACAGCAAATATGTGGCCATGTTAAAAATACACATTTATTACTCCACATACGCAATGGCTTTCGCAGTATCTGCAAAAACACAAACTTGTCATAACTTAAATACTCTGGGACATGGTAAAATTTTCATGCAATAAAATTACAGAAATGTATTAACGTAAAATACAAAGATATCCTTTACATCTATTTCCACTGAAATAATTTTTTAAAATACCCTACCAAGGCATGAGGATTTCAGCACTGTCCAATGTCCAGTTCGTGTTATTGGCCTTTTTGCTATTATTTTATGACTCTCACTCTCTTTTTGGCAAGGTACAGAGTAATAAAGAATTGGCAACGGAAGAAACATCAGGACCTGATCTGGCATTTGTTTTCTATGCAAAATTCCCAGTGAAGTCTGTGGAATTCAATGGAAACACTTAAAAATATGCAACTCTGCAAAAGTTCATAATACAACAGAGATAAGAAAACAACCTTATGGCAAGGAATTGAGGGAGAGTAAGTTACAGGCGATGTCGACCTCTCACAGCGAATGATGGCACACCCTGTATAAATCTGTCATACAAAAAATACATATATTTAAATAGTTATATACAGAAAATTATTGTGTTCTGGTTGTAGAGGAGATGTAAACCAGAGCTGCTCTGGGGGTCTTTCAGGCTCTGCACGCCGGGGTTTGGTACCAGGAGGATTCCACAACTTGACGGCGAGCTTTGCTGACGCCTGGGGCCGCGCCCGCTCTCACGGGACACAGACAGGCGGAGGCCCAGGCCAGGCCTTTCCCCAGGCCCCCCGCGGGCTCCTGAGGGGACACGGGGACACAGGAGGTGCCGGGGAGCAGCGGCCCCGCGGGGACGGAAGGGCCCGGCGTGCAGAAACCCACCACGGAGAGTCTGACAAGAAGCACACACCGAGCTCCTTCCTATCGCTCTCCCGTTTCCCAGTGACCCTTCCCGTGTGATTTCTCCCCCGGGGACGAGGCACAACCAGGCTGCAGCAAAGCCTGGCCCCCAGCGGGCGCTGCCCAAGTTATGCCCAGGCACTATTTCAGATCAAGCGCGAGTATTTCCGCTCCGGTGCGCTCACGGTGTCTCTCTGGCTCAGCGCAATAAGCCCAGAGGCCCGTGTCCACCCCAGTGGCCGAGGAGCAGAGACGGCCTGAGGCAGAGCCAGAGCCTCCCTGGATGGACTTGGGCGGTGGGAGCCAGAACCTGCCCCACGCTGCTGCCCCCGGGAAGCAGCAACGAGCCGGCGTCTCCCCAGCACTTCCCCGGGTTCTGCCGAGCGCTGCTGAGGGCACTTTGCACAATTTCCCCAGGAAGGGCAGTGCTGAAAGGGAACACGAGTGACCGACAGGGCAGAGTTTGGGGGGAGAAACATCCATTTCAGAAGTGAGCCAGCTCCTCCCTGTGCACACCAGCCTCAAACTCAGGGGCTGTTTGTCACTTGTCCTAAAGGAAGCGACGAAAACATTGGATCAGACAGGGCCTGCCAAGCTGCCAGCAGCCCTCCTGGCCCGAGAGCCGCCGGCTGAACAGGATCTGCCCACGTCCCTCGTACAGGGGAGGGGGTTGGTCCTTGTGTCATTCCGACAGTCCAAACTTTTGTCATTATTTACAGAAAGATGACAATAGTGTAATGGAGTTTACTGAAAAATCCTATCCACATGGGTGGTGTAAATCATCTGTAATTTGCAATTCCTGGTTTTGACCCTCGTTCTGCTTCTCCTGCCCCGCCTGGGTCCCGGGGGGCCGAGCGGTGGGTCTGGGCCCCGCGTGGCAGCAGCCGTATCCCCCTGCTCGGATCCCAACCGGATCACAGCCGGTCTCCATGTGGCTTTGTGAAGAGATTCAAGTGTTGCCAGAGCGTCCTGGCCATCGCCCAGGGGCTGGGGCAGGGGACACGGGGGTGCACAGAGAGTAGCGGGGCCCGGCCCAGGCCGCAGCCCCCCTCCAGCCCGTCATTAGCACAGCTCCTAACGAGGGGCGGGTCGGGTCTGCGACAGACCCGCGGTCAGGGCCGGGGCCCCGCGGGGCCACCCGGGTCCCTCGCTGGGCACTCCCCCCCTGCGGCTGCACAAACTGGCACCAGAGCTCGCCTTCCCCCCGCACCAGCTGTGTCTGCGCGCCTCAGCGCTGCTTGGAAAGACTTCTGTGAAAATTTGGTCCTGCACGAATTTAGCCACGTACTAATCTCCACATAAAACTGTGGAAAATAAATGCGTGTCATTTTTAAACTAAAACTGGTTTGTAGCAGTTACGCCTTTCTGTTTTATTGGTGGAAACGAAAAACACAACAATATTTGTCCTGAAAAGAGTCTGCATCTGTTAAAAACATTTTCTAGCATTTCTGCGTTATGAATCCACAGTAAGGATGCAAACGCTGCAGCCTCCTCATGTCTGGCAGCAAACGGATCTTGGTAGTTTGAAAGTGAATGCGCTCCTAAGGAACCCCCGGGCACCACAACGGCCCCACGCTGCAGCAGAGCCCACGGCTCATTTTCAGTGACAATAACCAAAAGCCACTCTATAGCAGATTAAGCAACTAATATAGTGAAGGCTTCTGAAACAAGAAAGGCAACATCCACAGCCGGAGCAAGCTCAGGAGATCTCCCGTCTTATTAAGAAGTTAAAACAGGTATTGGTAAACTATATACAGTACTTTCACTTTACATTGAAAATTAAAGTAAATCAAAGGGTGAAATAAGACGTTCCCGTCTCCCGTGACCACGCAGCATGTCAAGGCCACCCCCTTGGCCTCCAATAACCCTGCACCTGGACAGACAGCGTCCTCCGAACCCGGACAAACGGAGCCAAACCCTCCGGTCCGCTCACACAGCTCCTCGCCGCTCGCAGCAGCTACGTGAAGAAAGCAAATATTTTAAACACATTCTGCATCTCAATTACAAGTTTAATCATTACCCAGACCCTGAAGGATTCATGGAGTGCACAAAAAACATTTATTTGCCCCGAGTCGGGAAAGAAACTCTGACAGGTGACGAGAGGACAAGGACGTGCCCGGGATGTCCTTCTGCTGCAGGGCCCCAACAGCTGGAGGCTCCCAGGAGGCCGGTGCTGCCCGCCACAGCCTGGAGACGCTCCGGTTTACACAGGGGTTGCCTGTCCCCGCGGCAGCTTCACGGACAGGGACTGCCCGAGAAGAGCTGAAACCACCTATTGGGTTTCCTCCCTCGCCACACCTGCTCGACGTCATCCTCTGCTGTGCCCAAGGATGTAACTTCTTTTCTTGTCACCTCACTGTATTAAGGACACGTGCAGATCAGCAACCTGACGTTAAAAAAGAACAAGTGAAGAAGTTGATCTGCCTCCTGCGACAAGTTGCATAGCAAGTCCCTTTACCCAGGCGGGGCAGCCAGGTGCCGCGCGGGCGGCCGCTCAGCCCGGGAGCGCGGTTCCGTGAGAACGGTCCCTTTTGCTACAGCGTGCAGGCCCGGCGGCGGGGGCTCCCCGGCGGCGGGGGCAGCCTGCGGTGCCCAGCGCAGCCCGAGGACGGGTT